GTCTATATCTGTACAGTGGTCTATATATGTATCTGTACAGTGGTCTTCTGTACAATGGTTTATATCTGTACAGTCATTATTCTGTACAGTACAAACTGACTAATTCTCCAATTTTGAATAGTAAATATTACTACATTACAAACATTAACGAGCATTGATTTATATCTGTACAGTGGTCTATATTTGTACAGTGGTCTATATATGTATTTGTACAGTGGTATTCTGTACAGTGCTCTTCTGTACAGTGGTATATATCTGTACAGTGGTCTATATCTGTACAGTGGTCTATATCTGTACAATGGTTTGTATTTGTATATAAATAGATTTGTACAGTGTTCGGTAATATAAATTTTAAAAATTATAAAACAAAATGCATATCAAATGATAGAGAAAAAAACATAGATTTTTATGTATATGATCAATTTTTGAAAAATAAAATTTACGAACGAGCATTTTAATTATTAAACTTTGAGGGAATGAAGTATAATAAAGAAAGAAAAAGAAATTTAATTTAAAAAAAAACCTGACCCACACTCTCTCTCTCACACTCGCATACTTTTTATTTTCAAAAAAAAAAATTAAAAAAAAAAAACCATGACCCACACTCTCTCTCTCACACTCACACTCTCTCTCACACTCACACTCTCTCTTTCACCAAATTATAAATAGTAACGGTACTAGTTTCACAATTAAGTTTGGAAACGTACTAGTTTCCCAATACACCCTTTTTTTTTCCCCTCCGGTGTGTCAAGTTTATTGTGAATGTAATGTAGATAGAAATGTCTATGGTAGATATTTGTGAGACGGGTGAAATTGTATCTTCGAAAATAAGCAGATAACAAACAAAAGAAACTGAATTAGTTAGATTTTTTTTCTTTTTTTGAAATTTCAGATTATTTTAACCAACAAAAAAGAGTATATACAATTAGCAAATAAAGAAATAAAATACTACTCGACCATCCCGACAACCAGAGAGAGGAGAACAATCCCTACTGCTTCCGGCATTAGTTCTAGAGAGCTTTAGCAAAGTCTCGATGAAAACCATCTTAGTAAACATCGAAAACTCAACTCGGAGTACCCTCCCAAAAGGAAAAAGATGTGTCTGCTTTCTTCTTTTCCTTTGCCAACCGGCATGATACGTGCTTCAAGGCAGTATTTTCCAAGAGCCTAACCAGACTTTAATACTTTATTAAGAAAAGTCAAAACTGAGTAAACAAGTATGAATGTTGTTAATTTCAAATATTGGCAGAATAATCCACCTTGGGGGATGTCGTGGACTGGCTCCCAGATGACTATTTGGACCAACAACATTGTGGGATCAAACTGATAGGCCTTTGGCTTGACCGTATGGCTATGAAAAGCCGTATGTCGAACTAGAAGGTGTGACACTCGCTATAATGCTAGGAACCCCAAAAAGTTCACAAACCATCAAATCCTTTTTCGGGGAAATGGCATACCGCCTTTATGAAGGACACAAGGTGTAAGAAAAACATAGAGGGAGGAAAAATTGAGCTTGCCATTGAGGATACCGTTACAATGCGAGAAGAAACGAACGTTAAGAGAGACGGTCATGTCCACTAGAATTGTTTACGTAAATTTTCATGCAAGACAAACTAAAAATAGACTTAGGAGTGGGCCAAAATGGAGAGAAAGGATAAGACCATCGGTCAGAGAAATTATGCACCAAAAGGACAAAGAAAGACCTTTCCAAATTTCACAGTACCTTAACAGTGTTAGGGTGTATGTATTATTTTGCACAAAACTTGAAGGTACAAAATTCAAATTTATGGTTAATTAGGATATGTTCTCGCATAGTAGTATAAACCGTATATAAATTTATCATAGGTTCATTTGTGATGGTATGCAAAATCTGATTTTATTCCCAGCTCCGCGAACAATAAAACTTCGAAAATGCTTTCACACAGATTAAACGACAACAAAGTCGCATGATATATAACATCATATTTTTACCCATTTTACTAGTTTTTAATAAGAATTTCAAGTGATATATAGGGGTTTTGAAGATGTTTTTCAAGTATTTGTAGTTTCGAGACTCTACAAGGTTTTGGGCAAAAATGCACAAAATGCAACAAAACGAGCTTAAAGATAGTTTTGAAGCATCAGAAGTTTGGCATCTGTTGAAGGTTTTACCGTGCAATAAATTGAACATTTTTGGAGTCATTGGAAAGATAGAAGATTCACCTTTCCCTCCAAGTACGTAGAATCAGACCAAACTATCAATCTATTCAGAAGTTATCTGCATTTTAGTAGAGACATATCCAACCACGCCAAAGAACAGCAAGCCACGGCCAAACAACTCTTCACAACGCCCTACAGCCATGCGTTCGCACCCAAACTCACATTTGCCGTGTCTCCAAGCCCTGCTATGGCGGCCAAGCTTTGAAGTTCCCTCATTTAACGAAAACGACACCACTTCATCGTTTACGCGTCCGAGAAAGCTCTAAACCGACTTGTGAAATCCAAGACCTATAAATACGTGAAGACCTACCTCTTTTCACATGGCGCTTCTTAGATTCTCTTAGAACAAATCCCCAATTTATTTTTGTCTTAGTTAGATTTCATTCTTTGAATTCAATCGTGTAACTTCATTCCTTCTGTAGGATCTATCCATGACCACGCACATCATTACACACCATGAACGTTAAAAAAAACACCCAAATAGTAGTGGCACCTACCAAACTACAACATAGTAGACAACACTGAAAATTTGAGGAACATATCGAAGTGTTTGAAGGATACCTAATACGAATGTGCGACAAATATGTTTTCATGATGAACTCCTTAATTCTTACCGAGTCGAGGCTTCCAAAAACTCCTGGTCATACCTTGTTACTAGTTATACAGAATAAAATGACCGAGTGGGTAAATTTATTTCTAACAGCCAACACACAAGTACCCAACTAGGAATGCAACTTGTAGATCTCCTATAGAAACAGATATATAGCAAAATGAAAAGATTAAAAAGGAGTATACTGCTAAAGACAAAAAAAGATTCTAACTACATGACACCAAATTTATCGGTGGTGCAACATTAAAAAAAAATTCGTATTAAAGATTACAACAAAACAAAAGACGAAAGTAAAAGCGAACTAGCTAAAGGCATGATGCATTGGGAAGGGAACAATTAGGCGAGTTAGAACGCTTAGATCGGTAAGAATTGTGTATCTCATATCAAAGACCAACCCGACACTGCCAATGGTTACACATGACATATACAATAAAGTGACCAAGAATCGAAGCAACCACCTTCTATATGTAAGGGTAACGAATACCACTAGACTACAAAACAATTTTACAAATTTGATTGCTCCTTAAAATAAATAGGATTGTTGCCTAAAACATCAACTTGCTGGGCTTTAGGTATATGCCCGCCTTGAGTGGCGTCATCTTATTTTGCCTTAACCATGGTTACATTCCTACAACCTCTTAGTCTCAGCAAAAATAGATTTATTCTCTTCCATACAAGCACGAATCCTCCGAGAAAGATTTTCAATAAAATATATTATATGTCCCGACATTGTTTCTCTCCTCGATTGCAGGAGTCCCACAAGGAAGATTTATTCCAGGTTGCTTTGCCTAACATAACATACAATAAAGAGTAAAGTCATGAAATGAAGAGCGAGATGAAAAAAATCTAAAGAGTTCTCATCTGAATTTTTAAGGACAAAATAACAGTCACCAATATAAAACATAGAGAAAAATGCTTGGATGACGCTCGGGTTGAGAGGCAGCAACAAGATCTTCTACGCTCTTGATGGAACCCATCATACTATAAGCCATACCCTCCCTTGTAAGGCCAAACAACCACCACCGGTAATCAACCCCCGATGCAAGAACATTCTCTTTAGACATGGGACACATGCAAATTCACATACTAGATAAATGGAAAGGGGAACATGCCCTTGGAGAATTCCCCAAAGAGCGATAATATATGAGAAAACCTGTTCATAAGAGATCCATAAAAATTTAAAGGGAAGGCAAAAAGAAAAAGCTAACACGAGATGTATCATAAATCCCATATGAAAGGTCTGATAACGACGCTAGAGAATTCCTATTCATGCAATCAGAATCAAGCAAGAACTCCTATTTAAATTTTATATGGCTATGTAAACAAATTTCAAAGAAAAAAAAAAGTTTTGTTTGTAAGTATTAAAATTTTTCTATATTGTTCAACTTATATATGGATAATGCATATCTTGATTTTGGTAACTTAATCAATCAACATATAAGAATTTAATTTTTTATATGTTTTTTTTTTTCGGTAGGACTGGGGGAGGCAATGCCTCCCCTAATTTATTAAATACATAAGAAAAAGAAATTACAATCGACTACTCCGCGGCCAGGAAGACCCACGGGCATCGTCTAACAAAAAAGCAGTTACACTCTCCGGGCATGAGTTCAACAGTTGTAAGCCCAAAGGTCGATCACATGCTTAGTCCGTTAGCCCATCAGCAAGATGATTAGCCTCCCTATACACATGTGATATACGGACTAACCAGTCCTTTTGAAGAAAGCCATAGCACAGTCGTACTAGGAAGGACAAAGGATGAGTATCACTTATCCCCGTCGTTAGGAACCCTACTACCGTCTCCGAATCCACTTCCAACTCCAACCTTGCAATCCGCTTGTCCCAAGCTAAGTAAAGCCCATAATAGACTCCCCATAGCTCCGCTAACGGTGCCGAGCAGAAACCAATATTCAAGGTGAATCCCTGAATCCATTGGCCCTCTCCATCCCTGATAACTCCACCCGCTGTTGCCAAACCTGGATTACCGCGTGAGGCACCATCCGTGTTCAGTTTGACCCAGCCAACCGACGGAGGAGACCAACCAATCATCCTATCAACCCGTGTACTTTGCTCTGTCCCGCCATCACTTAAGCACCATGCTTGATAGACCTCTTTGGCTAGATCCCTCACAAATCGAACTCTATCCCGGCACTTCCCATTTTCACCAAAAACATTCCCACACCTCCACTTCCACCCCCACCAAGCTGCCATACCAAAGAGTATAGCCCACGGTGTGCCATCCCTCATTGTAACATCACTAATATTACCATTAATCCATTCAAGTAAGGACTGATCAAAGAAAACCCGCCTCTTACTCGCTGGAACAATGCGGTCCCAAATACCCGACATCGCGGGGCAATCACGTAGGACATGTAATATTGTTTCTACACCACCCTTGCAAACCTGACAAATACCAGATGCACACAAGTGCCGCCGTCTCCTCTCCTCATCGGTCATGATCACTTGGTTTACTGCTAACCAGAAGAAGACTCGCACCCTTTCCGGAACCATTAGTCCCCAAACCTTTTTAAACAGTGTCTCCATGTTTGGTCTCGGAGACGTGTCCCTAGTCAAGAACGAATAAGCTGACTTGACTGAGAATTTGCCCTCCGGAGACCACCCCCATGCGAACCTATCCTTTGCACCAGTCACTGTATCCACGACCACTGCCGATAAATTCAACCTGACATATTGCGAGACCCACGGCGTGATTCGTACCCAATCCCAGCCAACGCCATCAATCCATAAGTCTCGCACTGTTAGATCCACCAACTCCGGAGGCACATCACTCGTAGACCAATCCCTGAGTGAATCTTTTAATAACCAATTATCCTTCCAAAACTTTATGCATCTCCCATCTCCAAGAACCCAGCTCATTCCTGGCAACACCACATCCCGTAAACCACTTCCCACACTTCTCCAAGTCGAGGACCAATTACTTTTCACCGCGGTCCACGAAGTATCAAAAACATCCCCGACTTTATATTTACTTCGCAGCACCCGTGCCCACAGCCCCGTATTCTCCTTGATAATCCGCCAGCCAATTTTAGCTACCAAAGATTTGTTCATGGCTTCCGCCGCTCTAAACCCCAGACCACCTTCAGCTTTTGGCTTACACAGCCTCTTCCAGGACATAAGATGTTGTTTCTTTTTTTCTCTTGTGCTTCCCCAAACAAAATTCCTAGAGACCTTGTCCAGTCTTGCCAATGTGGACTTAGGCATACAAATCGTGCTCATAGAGTGGATTGGTATGGCTTGTATGACAGCTTTAGCCAAAGTAATTCTACCCGCAAGGCTCAAAACCCGTCCCTTCCAACCTGATAACCGTGTTGACACTCTTTCAACCACATCTCCAAACGTATCCTTGTTCAATCGCTTCTGCAAAACCGGCATACCCAAATACTTACCAAGATCTCTTGTGGACTTGATTCCGCTTTCATCAACAATAAGCTTCGATAGGTCTCGACTCCCATTGTCAGAAAAGAAAACTTTTGACTTTTCAAGACTCACCTTTTGGCCGGAAGCTACACAAAATCGCTCCAAGACCCGCCTAATGACTCTTATTTGTGTTACCGAAGCCTCCGCAAACAAAATGAGATCATCCGCAAAACATATGTGAGACAACTTAGGCCCTCCCCTCGATAAGCTAATTGGTTTCCACTTCTTCAAACCAACAGCTTCCGTAATTAGATGACAAAGTCTCTCAAGACATAGAACAAAGAGGTAGGGTGACAATGGGTCACCTTGACGAAGCCCTCTCGATGGCTTAAATTCTTCAGTCTTTTCCCCATTCCATAGAAGACTCATAGACGGACCAGTTACACATTTCATAATCCATTCAATCCAATTATCCGGAAGCCTGGCTGCTTGTAGAGTGTCTTTAAGAAAATCCCACCGTATTCTATCATAAGCTTTCTCCAAATCCAGCTTAAGTAACATCCAGCCCTTCATACCTTTCTTCCTTTTCATCGAATGAACCGCTTCTTGGACAATCAGTATATTATCCGTACTAAGTCTTCCCGGGATAAAACTAGCTTGAGCCGGTCCAATTAACAAAGGCATCACACGCTTTAAACGCAGAACCATGGCTTTGGTAACTGTCTTAAATAAGACATTACACAAGCTTATTGGTCTAAATTGCATTATTCTCTCCGGCTTTGTCACCTTAGCAATCAGTACTACCAATGCATCATTCATTCCAGCCGGCATTTCTCCTGTTTCAAAAAAGTTCAGAACAAACTGCACCACTGAAGACCCAACCACATCCCAACACTCCACATACTAAATTTAATAAGCTTACCAAAATTTAATAAAGGTAATTTAGAGAAATGTGATTACTATTTGCATATTTTGACTACATATGAGAAATTGTAAATTAGAAATGTAAGAGGGCATATGTAGTCGAAATAT